TATATATATATATATATATATATATATATATATATGTATGTATGTATGTATCTCATAACATATGAAGGCTTTCAAAGGTAAAAAAAGTTAATTTATAGTGTATATGAAACGGAACTTTCCAACTAATAATAATATAAAACGAGGGAATCCTCAATAGCCATTGCACTTGACTTTATTTATTTTTTTCATTTTTATTACCTATGTTTTGTGTTCCAGTAATACCAAGTGTGAGGCACGCATGTACGCGATTAAATTTTATTACTCATCAGGATCTCTACCAGCCTACCCTCAATTTAAATTCTTTTAGGCAAGATTAGAGTCTATGAGACCTTGGGTATGGTCAAATACATCAGTCAAAAGGGTTTGACCTCCTGCCTTCAAAACTGTAATTAGATCTCAAATTGGTCAAGATATGATGGAGCTATGAGCTGAAAGTTTGTACTTGAAAAACTCTGAGCCATTCTATGATCCACTATTCCATGGCTAAACAAAATCTGATTTTACTTGCTTCTTTCATTTCTTTTTAATCACAGTTTTATACTTTGTATGCCAGACATTGCATATATATTTCCATAAATTTTATATGGTGTCATTAGAATAAAAATAGACAAAAAAATTACACTATTATATTTTTTATTGATGAAATTTTATAAATTTCAGCTATATACATTTTGGTTTAGTATTTATTAGATTGTTTTTTTCTTCACAGATATCGGATGATATTTGAAAAGTTTCTTTCAGTTTGATTCAGTATGTGAATCAATTCAGCATGTTTGGTTTTTTAGGTAACCCTTAGGAAACAACTTGAAGCTCTTGATAATGATCCATCTTTAGACCTTATTCAAAAAGTTTGTTGCAAACAGAGTCTCTGTTTAGCACATGGACTTCACCCACATGCTGTTTCACTAACCACCACATCATCTTCCTTACCACAAGGTTTCTGTTTGCAATCAGCATTTTATCCTGAAGGAGTAGACACAGTTGAGTCTGTAGTAGGTCAGTGGTATTTATATTTGTCATCTTATAATCCCTATTCTATATGCACTGTTTAGCTACTTAAGTAGAATCCTACCAAATATTAGGTTTCACCACTTTTCAACAAAATAGTAGCCTGTACTTAGTATGGCATAGGTTCCACAATATATCAAAATATGTCAGTCAGTTATACACCATCTTTTTAGGAGTGTTTTGTGTAATTGGTTCACAACTTTCAGGAGAAGAATGTGGTAGCATTCTCTTGAGATTTAGTTGTGTTGGCAAAGGAATATTACTGAATTCATTGGCATGCTTTAAGAACTAATTGGGATATATAATAATTGTGAGTTGTTACATAAAAGCCTGTGCCAATCAGGATGGAAATACAGCATTTGAGGTGTTCAGGTAATCATTATTCCTTCTAACTCTCACTATGAGGTTGGTTGATTTTGACTTACCTCATAACCATTTTGTACTCATTATAGTTTCCCTACTATAGCTTTTAATACAGTATGTGTATCTTCACAAAATTTGCCAGACTTTTAGCAAACATTTTAATAGTCTTTTGTTTACAAAAAAAAATATTTTTATTAATGGAGTATTTTTACTAAAGATTTGTCTGAAGTTATATATATAGTTTTTTTTTTTACTAGTCCTACTTGTAAGCGTGCCTTGTGAAACTTTTTTTTTATTGTATTATTATTATTATCTATTTCGCATAATCTAACCTTAACTGACCTAAAAAAGTTTCTTATTTTTACATTTTAGTTACTTTTATAATGATAAATATAGAATGCACATGAAAAACTAGAAATGAAGTACTTACCTGGGGCTTTTTTTTTTTGCTGTCAACCCTACTTTTTTTTTATACTAATGGTAGTACTGCATTAAATAATTTTTTGTTTAATTAACTAATAAACCAAAAAACACAGGATAATAACATGTAAAAACAAACAATGTCCCATAACTATCACAGTTTTTGTGGCTTTCTAACTATGTGACAAGAGCCGTTAAAAATTACTTTAAACTCATCAATGTGTTGCTTGTGGGAATAAAGCCTGAACTGAAAGTATCATTCAGATACTGTTAGATGTCCAGCAAATTTTTGTCGGAGATTTGGAAAGAGCAGAATTCACCTTCTTGTACATAACAAAACATTGCAGGAAGTTAATATCATTTCAATGAGAAGAAATGGTATCAGGAGCAGTGGACCATACCCTAAGATAGACTTGAACAACAAAGATGCAAGTGTCACAGAGTCTTGTTTTCTATTCCATAAACATCCAGATCTTGAAAGCCTTGGCGATTCATTATGCTATAAATCACACTCCATGAGGAAGGATGCCACCAAAAAAAGTTATGGCTAGTTCAAGAAGCACTCTCTAATTGTTCTAGGTTGGCTGACTTAAAGTTGTCTTGTAGCAAATTTAGTGACACTGTCCTTAACTTCCTTTATAGCTTCTGCTACTTCATCATGGTCAATTGCAGTTTCATAAGTGGACTGGTCCATGTATTCCCGAGATTGCTGAAATTGATTGAAAAGTGCAATACCTGTATCAAAAGGAAGTTCTATGCAGCCTTTGAAAACATGTGCTTGGACAAGTTTTAAGATACAATGCCAGCATGCCAAATTCATAAGATTCTTGTTTAATCTGTTCTATGGACTTACAATGCAAAAGTCCAGGTTTTGATACCTGTGGTGGGCAGAGCACAGATAGCCCATTGTGTAACTTTGTGCTTAATTAAAAACAAACAAAAACAATAATCTGTTCTAACAGCACACATTCTCTATTTCTGCATCCAGTGTTGTTTATTGTTGTGTCAAAGCAAACTGCCTTTACACAATCAGTGACTCCATACTCTTTCAGCAAATGTGCCACAGCAGAAGTTTGAGCTTTCCAGTGATAGAAACCAACTTTGGAACTCTAGGAGTTGGTTTGCTCCTGCTCCATACAGGATCACTTTCACACAATCCACTTATTCTAGAAACTACAGTTTTATCATAGAGAATATTCCAAATATAAAAATTGACAGCATGGATTATTTATATATAGAAGGTTCTCAAACGTTTTTAATAATCTGGAATACTCTGAATTATTCCTTAATAATATGCTAGAACATTCCAGAATAATCTAGAACCTTCCAGAATTATTTCTAGAACATTCTAGGGTTTGCAGATATAATGCAAGCTACAAAGTAAAATTTCAGTTACTTTGAGTGACCTCTAAATGTTATTCAATATGATAAAATTTTTGTGAACCATGCCTAAGATAGATTTGTACACCAAGGATGCAAGTGTCACAGAGTCTTATTTTCTCACAAACCAGCAAACTTAAATTATTTCGTAAACATCCAGATCTTGAAAGCATATAATGCCTTAGACATTCATCATGTTTTCAAAACTTCCTGATATTCAGCTGGATGTACTCTGGAGGTTCATCCATGTCTTCCGTCTTATTTAATGGCTTTACCATTACTCATTTTGTCTCTATGGATACAACTGAACCAAAGAATGTCAGTAGCATAAACAAATGAGGGAATAAGAACTTTGTGAATCAAAACTTCAAAAATAAGGACCATCCTACTCTCCAGTTGTCTATCCCAATGTTCTTTAATCTGTGGTTAGTTGGCACAGTTTTTTTCTAGTGTTAGAGATATTCCTTTTTGATTGCAATTGTTGATAATTCCTGATAACAAAAAATACTTAGTCAGTTGAAAGAATAAGTGTTGAATAATAGTGCTTTTGCTTGATAAGTTGAAAGTTGAAGACGTGATGTTGCACAGCATCTTGCACATTAATTATGATATATGACAATATCCAGGTTTGTATAAAGCTTAAGCAGTCACATTACATATTCCTTGATCAGTATCTTGCACATGTAAATAAATGAAGTGTGTGTGTTTTTTGGGGTGGGTGGGGGTCTGCTGATAGTAGTTAGTCATCATGTGCATCAGTGTTAGTTGACTACAAGGAATAAGCAAGTTTTACTTTGTTTTTGTATTTCATTTACTTAGATTATTATTATTTTAAAAGTGTCAACTAAAAGAGGGATGGGTGCAGTGAAAGTGTTCTGTTATTTACTGTATTTTTTTATATAAATGCTCATATGACTTTAAACAATTCTTTATTATGAAGATAAATTTCTAGAATGTTGATTTTGTCAAAAAAGAAAATGGTCAATTAGTTATTCTCATTATTAACCAGGAAATGCTTTGGATGATTTGAACCTAGATGAAATAAATATAGAAGCTTCCATAGATAAAGAACTAGAGTGTGAAGTGAATCCTGTGAATTCTTCAATATCAGCTGGGCTGGCTAGCTCTGGTATGCACATTTTTATTTTATTTTACTTCAAAACAGTAAAATAAAAATAAAAATCTTAGACTGATTTTTTTTACATATTCTTCATACTAGTGACAGTAACTTGCATTATATTATATCTCACTATTATTTAAAGTTTTTATACTTTTCTCACGTTATTAACCCTACCATCAGTCTAAAATAGAAATGTAGGATTTAAAAAATACTTATTCTTTAAGAATAATATCCTCACATTTTCCTACATTACAGGTTTATCATTAAAGTTTCAGGTGTTGATATATATTAATTGCATCATGGTTACTTAATGCTTTGTGCGTAATGAGTCCATTTTTTTTGTATTAGCTGTGAAACATGATTTAACTGAATCCAGATAATGTTTTCATTTCTTTATTGAAGCTCTCCATTTCAAACAGTTTTACATAATTTTGATTTATCCTTGCATTCAAAACATTATCAATCTCTCTTTAAATGTGATTGACAGAAAAGTATTCTTCATTAATATACTTAAAAAAAAAAAATTTTGCTTTGATAAGATTATAGTAATTGTATGTTGGTTGTTGTCATGGTTATTAGCATAAACAGTCGCTAAACTATATGATTAATTTTTTAACTGTTATTATCATTACTACTAAAAACTAATAACTAGCTTATATCCTAAATTTTAGTTGCTAACTTGCCTTTTTATCAAGAAAATCCAGGATCAAATATAAGCCACTACCACCACAAACATAGTCCTTCTTAGGACTTCCTCCAAAGTTGGCAGCAATTTATCAGAAACTAATTAGCATCTAGTAATAATAATAATAATAATAAAAAAAATTGTGACTAATTAATGATTACACTATAAAGGTAATTGTACAAGCTAACATGACTGAATAAAAAATTTGAGTTGGCAAATTAAATACTTGCTCAATTTAAAAATAAAAAAACATTGCAAAATTATATTGTGCATGCACTATTACTTGCACAGTTGTTCACGAGTCTTAGATTTTATAACTGTAAAACTGTCACATAAACAGTCTTACACATTAAAAACGTTAGTATTTTCTGCTCAGGTGGCCAGTGTGAATTTATTTACACATTTTTATGATATTCACATGTTGGGTGTGCACTATTTCATATACATAAATATTTAAAGTAAATTAATGTTTCATGTATTGATTAAATTATGTATATTTAAATAGCAAGCAACTGGTAAAATTATTTGATTTATAAGTAATAAATTGTTTCATTTTTCTTTGTAGTAAGTTTCACTGCATTGTATTTGTTAGTTATGATGATTTTTTTTATTATAATTGCACTTAAGAAGATTATATTGTTAGCTTAGTTTGTGGATTTTGATAGCTCTAATATGAATCTTTTAAACTGGCTGAGCTTCATGAGGTATTGGGAGTGTAATAGAATTGTTTTCAATAAACTTTTGAAGCAGGAATGTATTTTTAAAATGTGTATGCAAGAAAGTGGCACAGAGACTGTCACTCCATACCATGCAGTTCTCTTACAGAAGCTCGCTTGACTCAGTTTTGTTGAGTAATGTTTAACTGTGTTCAGCAACATGTAATTCCCTCTGAATGTATGTTACTTCTCTCCTCTACATTATCTTTAACTAGTAACAAATGCTGTATGTCTGTCATGAGTAGGTATGTACTGATTAGTGTGCTTGGTTTTACCCATGCTACTCTATCAGAACATTTAATAATAATGCTTTAACCTACAAGGATGAATGACATTTACGAACAATTTTTTTTGGAGATGTACAAAAATTATGACTGTTTAATAGTTTTTTTTCACTAATGCTAGAACCTTAATGTTCACCAACATTATGTTTTTGTTTTCTCACTAACTTATATAGAAATCACTTTTCTAACTAATCTACTAATTTACAGATGAACAGTTTTTGTTGCTTTGGTATCAGTACTATGATTGAATTTTATGTGTGTGTGTGTGTCTATATATATATATAATTATATGAGATTTGTTTAATAACTTTGGCACTGCAACAGTTATTTCACCTACAATATTTATTTACACTTTAAACTCTAAGCTGTTGTGCCATAAAAACCTGTATGAACTATCATTCCATGCAATTGTTGTTAACCAGATTGATTTCTGTTCTTCATTAAACAAAAAAGAAACAGTTACATACAGTTCTTTTCATATGATATGTGTGGCCTTAATATTAAAAGCAGTGAAGTTCTAAGCCTACCTGATAAATGCCTTAACCTGACTCGTGGTTTTGTGAACTAACAGAAATATGCTTGAGCTGTATTTCCAAACTCGTGTACATCTAGAAACTACTTAAAGAACAGTTTTCTCTAGATAGAATGAATTGTGATGTAAAGCTTTATTCTCTATTTAAGAAAGCTTCTGCCAATTGGAGTTAATGTTTACAAAATGTTAATTATAAATAAATATTTAATTCAGTCAATTTTAAGAAAGAGCAAATATTTTCTAAATCATTCATGCATCACTTATTTATTGCAGAATCTGTCATTTTGTTTTTACAAACATTAATGTCCTCCTAGTAATTTGTATACTGTACTCCAAACAATTAAAGGACAAACGAGGCTATGAAAAGGTAAAACTTTTGTTATTAAATGTCAGTTGTCTCTCCTAAGTAATTTTTATGCAGTGCGTCAGATATTTGGTCATCTAATCTGTATAAAAGTGAATGAAACAAAATGTGTTTTCAGTTAGCAGTTTAAACAACAGTAGAATATGTAACGATATCTAGATGATAATGAAATATTCCATGACGTGAAGAATAACAGGTTAGTTAGAAGCTGGTCAAACACAATCCTATTAAAGTAGTTACATGTCTCACAAAGTATGGTTGGTAGGATGGACACACATTCATATTCTAATATAGGTGAATGAAAAGTTAGGTAAGCCATTCATAGCATCCTTCAAAACTATCACATTCTTTGACAATTTTATCTTAGAGCCACTGGTGAACCTTAGCTTCTTAAATGAGTAAACCATTCAGATTACTAACTAGACAAAAGTCAAAATGTGAATGAGTAGAAAGAGCTCCTGAATGTTGATTTTTATGAAAGATTACTGATGGTGTGCATTTCTCTAACCCATTACTACAAAACAGCCTATTTCAGTAATGTCAAGAACTCTTGAATTAACGTATAATTGATAGGATGAAGACACATGTTCATCAACTTAAATATGTGACTGAAAACTTGGGTAAGCCATTGTCAGTAACCTTCAAAACAACAATTTTTGACAATATGATCTTGGAGCCACTGATGAGACCAGCTTCTCAACTGCATTCAGGGATTAGTGTACTGATGGTCACATTGACTTTTATGTGTGCCAACATGGTAATATGAATAACATACAACATTGGGATGCAGTCCTCACAACCATTAAGTTAATACCCTTCAAAATCATTCTTTGACATTTTAAGCATGCCATATCAATATGTGGCTTGTGTCCAAGGTGATCATTCAAATTACCACTTTGAAGAGTGGTGCAATGAAGCTAATAGTGATTTTTAAATTTATCAACATTACATTCTGATAAACCCTGCATATGTATAATTTATATACAGAGATAATTAATAAATGAAATTGAAGCAATACTATTGTTCTTTATTTGTGACATATCAACTGAACAACAGTTCTTTGTTTGAATATTATATAATTAGCTATTTTTCTCTGTATAGGTAAATTTATTTATCAAAAAAAAGGAATTAAGTTGTATAAAATAAAAAATTAGAGCAACATTACACAAGAATGATGCAGAAAACAGGCCAAAACTCAAATCTTGTTAAGAAAACATAGCATTGTGCAAGAAAAAGAAAAACAAGGTTACAACGAAACTAATTAGCATGCAGAACAACAAACAAAGAAAATCTTGTACATAAAAGAAGAGAATAACTTCAATTTCTGTAACTTTCTTTGAAAGAAATGTTAAATGTACTAATAATTGACAGGAGGCACCACTTTGCTGAAATGTTCATTGTGTATGTTTTTTAGGCTTCTTGCATAGCTAAAACATTTTGTGGGAGAAGCTTCTAATGTTGGGTGAATAATAATTTTACTAAGTTTATATTACCCTTACACATTTTTTAATAATTACCTTTTAATAATATATGATAAGTTTTATATTCATTATGTAGGTATTAAAATGACTTGATTGGGGGTTTTAACAATAATTTCTCAGCCTCTATATTTGGTTAACAAAGTCATTTGATACATTGAATAGTATGCAGTTGAATTTATAGTTGTGCTGTTTTTACTGTGCGAAACGATTGGTCATTTATTAGATTTCATTTATATTCATCAATTGAAACATTTCTAAACTTTTTTTTTTTAGCTTAACATAAACATTATCTCATAAACAGAAACTGTGTTGTTTTTTGTTTAAGTAGCTTATGTTTATGCTATTTATTTGGAGTTATTTCCCTATGGTGTTTTAAAATGTCTTACTCACACAGCAAACCTATATTTTTATAGAAATTACAAGAATATGCAGTGTCGATGCTACTAGTTTATTCTTGTGAATTATTTAGCTTGACAAGCTGTTTAAAATATTTAAAAAATAAACGTGCAGTCCAATCTATCATTTGATTTACCTCTTGTCACTCTACCACTTTGAAACTATTTTCAATTGTCATGATTCAGAAATGCAAAGATTCTTTATTATTTGTTTGATGCTTTGAAACCAACAATGATCTTGAATTGATCAACATTATATTTTTATAAACTGTATAGTGGCAACCCAAATTTACATGCAATTTGCACTTTTAATCTGTCAGTCTCATCTTACAATAATAAGTTGCTTTAAAGCTCATTAGGAATGCAGCTTACATACATTTCTGTGACTGTATATTATCACAAAATGAAATGTGTAAGAGACAATCTTTAAAAAAAAAACTTGTACCATAGCACAGGTATTGAAGCAAACTGAATTTTGGATTTATTGCAGATACAGAGAATTAATCGCATTTTATATGAATAATGTCTCCAGTTTATCCTGGAAATTCCTTCCTTTAATGTCAGTCGTGTTCATTCAGATGGCCTTATTACACCCTGTTGCACAATGCCTCATTCTATTGTAGAAGCTTCTAAAAGATAAACAGTAACATCAGCCTTAGACCAAGCATCTTGATAGGCTTTTTACAGGGCTTCCATTGTTTGTGGACTTTAGCCTTTAAGACCACATTTAAGCAAACCACATACACAGAGATCCATATATGCATAGTCAGTTTACTTCACAGGTATGCCAGAGAAGGCGATATGGATGTTAATTTTGTTCTTCAAGCTCAAGGTTTTGTAAGAATGCTATTGTGGACTTGTTTGTATAACTTGATACTCTATCCTTTTGTTAGTAACTGCAGTTCACTTTTGCTTTAGTGTGCACTTTGTGAAGTATAAATTTCTCAGTACAATAGAAACTAGCAACAACTTTTCACCATGTGGTCAACAGAAAATCACTTGTTTATTGTAGAAGTTGTTCAGGTGCACCCAAACTTGTCTAATTCTGCAACTGACATGTCTTTAGAGTTTGATATTTTTAGTAGTTATATGTGTTTTGTCATTAATATGTCTAGATAATGGCTTTGTGGCTTATAAAGGCAGGTTTTTTGTAAACGTATTTTGTGCACAATTTATTGATATAAACAATACACATCTACATCATTGTATCAGCATGTGCAAATCTTTCTTAAAAAGTGTAGTTAGTACTCAGTATGTATTCATTTACCATACAAAATACTATTTATTGGTTTAGATTCAAACGAGTTGTTTCATAAAATTGTTATTTTATTCTCTATCTTATAATAATAATAATAATAATAATATCACTTCTATCATTTGCATATAATTGTACAAAAAATATAATCTTTTTTTGTTTGTTTGTTTTACTAGGTGATTTGTTGTTTTTTTTCTCTCTAAAGAGTTCAAAGTAATAATATGGGATATTCTATGTAATCTAGATGATAAATATTAATGGAAGTTGCTATTTTCCACAGGAATTTTAGGTAGTTCTGCCCCTGTGAGCATTCCTGGAAGTGAAAGTATGCATGATCAAAGAAGATTAAGTAACTTGTCACCTCCTGTCACATCCCATCTAGGGTCTCTCTCTCACAGTCTATCAATGGGAGGGACTTCTCTTCTTTCTCTTACTTCTTCAGGAGTTGTTGGTTCAAGACCTGAACATTCTTTAGATAAGGTAGATAATTTATTACATACCCAGATATGAAAATTTATAGCATACAGTGTCAAGTGTGTTTTTATGAATCTCATATAAGTAGTTTACTCTTTAATAGGTATTCTGTCTCCTGTAATATGAAAACTAGGTGGTCTAGTTAAAAAGTAATAAAACCAACTTTTTTCTAATAAGTTAAGCTACTTATTCTAGAATTAACTTGTATGTAGACAAATTGAGTGTTTTGATATTTGGTTTGTGGCAAAATATCAAGAAAATGTAGAAGTAGTGCTTTTGTCAATTAAATCATGTATTCTCATATGTTTCTTTTCTTAGACCTTTGCATTTAAGAATGTGCACTTTTTTTGAATGCATAACAATAAATGGATTAACTAGGTATTACAGCTTCTCAAGCATTGAGCCAAAAGAACTATTCTTAGAACACACATACTATTCTTAATAAGATCATATAATTACAAAACTTTAATAGAATATTGTTCTTTAACCATTTATTTTATGTTGTTTATCATAATGGTGCCTTGTGTTGTATTCTTTTGGTATAGCAATGGTTTCTAAATATACAAGACACTGCAGTTTTTTCATCATTTTTAATAAATAAAAAAATTTCCTCCCAATCATCTTAACTGCCCTGTGTTCCATAAGTCTTTCTTCTTTTTTTTTTGTGAACATTCATTCATTTTGTGATGAAAGTTACAAGTTGCTGAATGTATTTTTGGCCACTGAGAGCTATAAATGTAAATACTATGACACAAGATTTACATGACATATCACCCCTTATGTGATATGGATTGAATAATCAAATCTGATGAAAAAGTGAAACCCCTTTTTGCAGTGACACCTAGTACTGCCAACCAATCACAGCTTGAGTTGTTAAAACAGAAGTAACCATGCACAATGAGCAATTTATAAAATACACAATATTACTTCTTTAAAGTGCAAAGAATAGGGTGCTATGCTAACCTTGCAGCTGGTAGTGAGAATTGGTTTTGTATAATCCATCAATACATTATTCCAAAAATTTAGAATAGTTATATGAAGGCTTATTAAAATTACACTGACATGCTGTTTAAAGAACATTTTTTTCTAAAACTCTCTTTAAGGCAATCATTTCTCATGTTTCTTAAGATAACTTCCCCAATAAATAAATAAATTTAAAAAAATTAAGTGGTCTAAATGTGGCACATGGGCCTGTAGTTGAACCACCATGGATTAACTTGTTAACCATTTGAAAAAATCATTGGATAAAAGTTTTCACTATTTATCTGCTAATCTATTAGTACAGTGTGCATTATAAACTAGTCTTTTTATGGTGCTTTTCCTTCCTGATCCATACCTTTATTTCAATATCGTTATTAGGAACTTGTGATTCAAAATGTATCTCTAGACTGTTAACAAAGTATTTGTACAGTCGTTAAAATCTTATTTAAAAGGGTTTGGTGCTCATGCATTTTAGATTTATGCAAAATACAGCTTGAAAAAAATTAACATTTTAAAATTGTATACAATTTTATTGCCATTCAGATTTAACATTAAATATTTAGATACTGGAGTTAAAAAAAAAAAGGAGATTCAAACTATGTATTAGGTTGTCAAGAAATTAATGTCACTTTTTTTTAGATGAAAATACCCGAACAACTTATATATCACATTTATTAAATAAAATAGTCTCCATTCTTATCGATGATGTTTTTCCATCTTACAATCAGGTTGT